AAAAAAAAAAAAAAAAAAAAAAAAACTTAGTAGAGACTGAAACTTTTCAGTGCAATATGAATTAGTAGCAGAATCTGGCTGCCCTCAAAAGATAATACTAATACTTTCTGGCTACATAAATGAAGAACTAAGATCATGTCCCAGAGGAGAATAGCTTACTCTGCACTGCTTGGGCCACATTTAAATGATTATGTTCAGCTCCACACATTGTATTTTAAAAGAAACATCATGTTGAAATAAATATTTATTGTGCACCTATTAGTTTGCAGGCCTAATCCTCTTTAATCCTCTTAAAGAGACTAAGACATCAGTGTGGTGAGTTGCCGTTTCACAGAGAATTTAAGAAGCCATAGAAGTAGCTCAGACTCGATTCACACACTCTGGCCCTAAAGTCTGCTCTCCCAGCCATCCGTAGCTCTGCGTGCTCCAAAGAGATGACTTGTGGGTCAACACAGGGAAGAAGAGCCACAGAAAGGAGAACCTCAAGGTCACACACACATCCTCTTTCCAGAAGGTTGAGGGCTGTCACCCTCTGCTGGGTAGGCACATAGCTAGGACAGGTGGAAGTCTCCAGGATGCTACTTCTGAAGCAAGATTCCTCAAACAGCAGTACACTGAGCTCCTGCACAGTAGAGGATGTCCTCTGCCTTGCACAATATAGAGAGCTGCAGAAGGGATTCCTGGGTCAGAGGTTAGAAGAGTCGACCTCTAAGATCCCATCTAATACCAAGATTTCCGGATAGTGACTTCTGGACAGGCTATACTCGGCATTCTGGTAAGAGTCTATTGTGGTGAGGATAGACTCATTTTATTTTTTATAGAATGGGTTTTCTTTAAATCTGACAAAATTATCTTCTTTAATTATAATGGAAAATAAATTATGCTTGAATTTCCTTTTTTCTCCTCCACTAATGGATTTGCCCATTGAAAACTTAATAAAGCTTATATATAAGACTCTAAAACATGGTTCAAATCTTCATTCCCTGATCTTATACGATGAGCACTGCAGGGTTGGAGCTGCTCTAGTTTAGGTGTGGCTCACTCCAAGTCCATGTGCTCAAAGCCTGGTCCCCTCTTGCTGTGGGGTTTGAGGTAGAGCTGTCCAAGGCAGGGCCTGGGACATGGTACCAGGGTCACTGGGGGAGCTGCCTTCAGGAGGGCCTGTGCTGGTCTCACAGAGTGATTTAATGCTCTAGAGAAAGGGTTGTTATGCATTGCTTGTGCTTGGCATCTTCTATATACAAAACGGTTCCCTTTCTATGTCTCTGGCATTTTGTGATCCAGCAAGGGTATGCTGGTGCTATGCCATTTAAATTCCCTTTCTATGTCTCTGGCATTTTGTGA